GAGTCAGTTGGTACTACATTACTATAATATTGAAGGTTAAAACTGACTGATTTTTTAAAATTACACTTAATGAAGTTTTAAAATAATAAAGTTACAATTACATAGTAATATTTCTACTTCAATTCGTTTTTTCGAAATATAAACAATGGTGGCTGTCATAAAAAGTTTATGGATTTATTCAAACATAAATGAAACATTGAAGAACAGTTAAATTTAAAATGAATATGTTATATGGTGCATATATTTAGCAAAATGCCCCTCTTCTACAGTTTATTTTCCTATCTGACTAATGAGTTTATAGTCACCGAATATGTTTTTCTGAGGTAAATGTGACCTTACGTGACATATTGTATACAAGCCGTTATATTGATGTCTTTGCGTGGCTGAAACACTGATTGAGCAATTACATGAGACAGAATAAGGATTGTAAAGTCGTACTCTTTCTTTTAACTTAACTTCGGATGTTTAGTCATGATTATTTTGTGCTGAAACTGGTATTAATGTGGAGGAGATGATCAGTTCATGTGCGCTACACGCTGCCGTGTCTGTTGAACTGAGGCGCTACAGCGATCTGTCACTCCACATTAAACAGCGCCAAAACGGCATTAATTGTTTGAATACTGCAATACAATGAACAGAATTTGAAATCTGAGACTTTGTTTCATATTAAAAGTATCAACACACAATGCTTATTGCGATATATTGGATGGGAAGTGCCCTTCCGTCCATTAACTGAAAACAGGCTAGACTAATCGTTCTTGGGATTTAAGAATCAATATATTTTTTCATAAAAATGAGAATCAATTATTATCGAGATATCGATATTTTTTACCCAGCCCTAATAATTAGTGGTTCTTGCTAAGTGCTATGGAAATTAATGATACTAGTATAGGGTCATGTTTCAAGCATATTCAATCAATACTGCCAATTGAAGTCTGCATACACTAGAATGAGGAAAAAATCCATTAACTGATGAGTTGAACTGAAGGACAGCATTCCAGGTGGCTTTGCTGATGAACCCTTGAGTGCATCTTTCGGAGGTTATAAGTTCATGAAAGCTCTTACTTCGTGGCTGACTCATCGCGCAGATATAAAGAGCTCTCTATTGTAGGGATGCACAAATCCAATACCTGCACTGATACTGACATTTTTAAACAGATCAGGCAAATGCAATTAATCAAAATTTGTGTTTCAGTCATAAAAACATAAATTTATAGCATAGTTGTCACTGTTAAAGAAGTTGTCAAAAGGGTCCAGAGAGTAGGGATGCACCAAACAATTTTTTTCTGATATCAGAACAGTTTTTTTTTCTTCATCAGTTTATAAAATGTATAAATCGATTTATATTTATAGTTTGGAGTCAGTCTCTTTGCTCGAATACCTCAAGCGTGTGACGGAAATGTTACGCCTCTCACCATACTGTGATGATGCCCTGTCCCGGCCGGAGTGACAAGACAAAAACATT